TTTATATACAAGCAAAGACGATAAATTTTGATTGTAACTCTAATAGAGTTTAAAAGAAATTATAACCGCCCAAAGTGGTAAAATTTTTATGTCTTGTCATGATCAAATTCATGTATGATTGTGGGCAAAGAATTGAAAACTCGTCCCATTGAATTTGCTCCATTCTCATTTCCTTAAGAGAATGTGATAGCAGTATGTGATAAGTCTGAAAGAAGACAAAAGTATTACTATGAATGTATCAATAGATGTGGACGTGACAATAGACAAAATTATAACCGTCATTAATGTGGTAATAAGAACAATAAGGATTCTCAAAATAATCCTTACAATAAGTATTCTCAAAATAATCCTTCACTCTGTGAAAGTAATATCTGTCATCGATTTGACATGAGATTTTATAAAGCACATATAGATGATGACTCATCATCAAATTGGCCAAAGGTGTGCGTTCATGAGCCCATGCTAAAGTTTCAATCAATTCCCGCCAATATCCACGCCAAGAAATTAAGAACATAAATCCAGTAGCCCAAACAAGATGTCCAAATAAGAACATTCATGCCCAAACCGCTAAACTATTCATACCAAAAAGATTATATCCGTTGATAAGTTGTGAAGAGTTTAACCATAAATAATCCCTTAACCAGCCCATCAAATAAGTGGAAGATTCATTAAACTGTAAAACGTTTCCCTGCCATAATATGATGTGCTTCCAATGCCAATAAAAAGTAACCCATCCAATAGTATTTAACATCCAAAAAACTGCCAAATAAAATGCGTCCCATGCCGAAATATCACAAGTATCGCCTCGTCCTGGGCCATCGCCCGAAAAACTATAATTGAAATCTTTTTTATCTGGCATTAACTTGGAACCACGTGCATCTAAAAAAGATCAATGTAGTTGTATGTGAAAACATCTTATTTACGAATACATATTCATTTTTGGAAGAATATGAGCGTGTAAAAATTAACATGCATTAATTTTAGGAACTTATATTTTTTAATATTTAACTCAAACACATTATTTAATAATATTTACGTAATTTTTAAAAATTATATATTTATTGATATAGGTACACGCGCAAAGCGTGTACCTAAAACTAGTTATAAAAATATTGGGGAAAAGAATTCGATGAACTTAGGATGTACTGGAAATTTCCTTGTTCTCTCTCTCTCCCAACTCATTTTATTTTGTTAAATTTTAAAATCGTATTTTATCCCTTTCGAAATGAAGTATTTCATAGTTTTAGAAAGAAAAATAGGCTAGGGAGTAAATCATTAAAAATAAGAGCATATGGTGTAAATTCATAAAATAGTGCACAAGTTAAGGGCACAAAATGCAAAGAACTATTTAGCTTGTGTACTTACTATTATTTATTTCTTGGCTATCTAAAGCCTAAATAATTGGAGCATTAATCAATCAATATATACATGAGGGACAACAAGGACGTGCAATTTTCAAAAAGAGATTATAATGTGATGGAATTTTGATATATAAATAATTTGCAACCAACAAATTAATAAGGAAAAATGCTAAAAAAGAAAAATACTCTTCTATTATATGAAATCTCTTAATTTGATCATCCATTGTATTTTACTGCTATTCATACCATTTCTATTATCAAATTATTTCATATTTACCCTTGATATAAAGGAGCTCCAACTTGAAGTATAATAAAAGATAAATTAAACCATAGTTAATACTATACGGTTAAATTTGAGACTTTTTTCCTAAGTATTTTTGACTTGTAAAGTCCATTCAATCCAAGTTAAAGCTCCGCTAGGGCAATGCAAAATATGAAAAGATTCGCTCACAATAAAAATATAAATATTCCCACAGGGATAATGAAGGATAAATTTTATATATTTCATATAATAAAGGGGTTAATTTGTGTCTTTTCCAATCTAATAATTATGAAACAAACAAATGTTAAAAAGATTGAAGGAAGAATCTAAGAAACATGAATCAGGTAACTTTATCAATTTGAATGATCAATCTTAAAAAGAAAAAAGACATACAATAATTAAAAGTGAATTTTATTTAATCATCACTTTGTTAAACGCCAAAATTTCCCTGTGAACAATTGATGCGAATGATTCATTGAAATTAGCATTATGCGTGGCCAAACAAATCACGTGATTCCATTTGAAAAGACAGTTTTTATTTATTTATTGAAAAAGACAACATACAATATACAAAATAAAATCGAACCATTCGGAACAACAAAGGATTAGTGATAGGAAATGTATGATTAATTAAAATAATTAAATTATGAATTTATGACAAGGAAATCAACGGGCGTAGCACTAGGCGTCGCAGCAATAGTAGTGATAGGGGAAGATAAGTATTATTCCTCTCCCATCAATATATGTGAACCTATTTATTGAACACAAAATTTTCATCAAAAGAATCATTCTTTTTGGAACAGATTCAAAAGAAAATAAGTTTACATAATACTGAAATAAAGAGAGTAATGATTAGTATATAACTAGTTAAGTTAAGAAAATTATTGAAAGGGAAATCACATATCTGAAAATAGATGTTCAAAAACAAGCTCTCAAAGTGTCTGAGTAGGCGATATAAAAAAGTTTTTTTAAAAAATTAAAGTTTAACAATCATATTTACAAGTTTTATGCACATTTTTCTAGTTGTTGAAAACGAGTGTAGTATAAAAGTTCTCATAATATTTTTTGCAAAAAATAATTTTTTTAAAGTAAAATTGTGAAGTATTTCTTCCTAATTTCACATCCAATGTACGATTCTCGCATTGAAAATCCGATCATGATTGCACCGCATAAGACCCATAGAGATGAAAGAACTCCCTATCAAATTTATTTTAGAACTTGAATTCGAAACTTCTAACTAAAAGTAGAAAGAATTACAAGAAAATATACATGACTTCACACCATAACAAAAGATGGTCCATGTTTTTAAAGTTTACCCGCTATAGCCTAGTTTATATAGAATTTAAAGAAAAGATTTCAATCACTAACCTAGTTCTCTTTTTCCTTACGCGCCCAAAATGCTCTCTCTCCATGTGCCTCTTCATTCTCTATAGGCCATTATCTTCTATCCTCTATATTTTTTTGATCTATCTCCCATATTCATCTAATATCTTCTATAATTTTTAAATCTATCTTTCATCCTATCTTTTATCCTCTCTAATTTCCAGATCTAATTTTCCTTAACTTTTGTTAATTCTCTCAAACTTTCCTAATGCAAAAAGATGAAAGTCTAGGGTAAGATGAAGAATATGAAGTTCGTTGTTCGTTTGAAAGGATTGAGGAAGAAAACATTTGACCCATTAATGATTTAAGTAATTTTGACTGATAAATCTCCGAGTCTCTTACCTTGAGCATTTGGTATCGAAATATAAGTCCCAAAAATCATAATTCCGCCACTGACGAAGCTAAAGTTTTCAGATCTGGAAGTTTTATTGTGAATTGGTGCTTCAATCCAAATGGGTATTGACTAATAATAGTATTATTGATCGGGCGAGACAAAATTTAAGAATTTGAGATTCATCTAGACCTATCTTGAGCTGATTGGTTCTTCTTCTTCTTTTTTCTTGTTCTTTTTGATAATATTGGTGTTAAAACAGAAGTGTAGTGACAGACATAAGGTATTTTCCAGTGCATATACCGTATAACTGGTGTTTATACACACTTATACAAATATTGTATAATTATGTATAAAATAGGTATAAGTGTGTAGATTTGTGTATAATGATGTATAATTATATTTTTTTTCAATATATAAGGGTGTACATACATTATTATTGTATAAGAGGTCTTCATGAAAGTTTGACACTTTTTTTATATGGTAAATTTTGTGTTGAAATAAAGGTTTAATGATGGTTGATTTTTTTTTAGTGTAAAATATGCATGTTGAATTTATGTACATTCAGTGCATATGTTGTATACTCATACATATGTATTATATATATATATATATATATATATATATATATATATTGTATAAATATGTATATAAGTGTGTATAATTATATATATACGAGCATATAATAATGTATTTACATTGCATTCCAATGTAAATATACTCCTTATATATATATATATATATATAAAATGACAATATACTCCTTTTTAGTAAATTTCGGACAAAAATAAGGCAAAGAGAGGGGGAAAAGTAAGGATTTAAAACCACGTGATGACTTGACTTTTTGTGAGATAGTCACATTAATCTGGAAGAGAAAAAAACAAATAGGAGAAATAGAAAAAAAAGGAAAGAGATCATTATGAGATTGATGTGAGACGATAATGTCAGTCAAACAATAGTATTAGAGGGCTCCGTTGGCAATACGGATGAAAACTTAAAATGATTGATACGCGGATGAAGAGCACCTACATGGGCTCTACTTATGTAAAATTATCCCTTAAAAGTACAAAAATACTAAGTAGGGGCTATTTATCATTCAAATTCTTTTTCCATGAATAAAATAGCCTATAAATAAATATCGAGAGAAGATTAGCTATCATAAATACATTCAACTTTCACAAACATCCTTTTCTAAATAAATTTGAAAAGAACTTTTTCCTAATGTTGTTCAAAGGTTTAAAACAACTAGTTACTCCGGTTCATAATAAGTGACCAGTTTCCTTTTAGCACACCCATTAAAAAAAATACTAAATTCTATACAAAAATACCTAGTATGACTAAACAACCCTTATTAAATATTGGTCACATAGTTATAGTGAGGAGTGAGAATTTTTTTTAGGAATATGCATATAAGGGTAAAAGAGTAAAAATAAATTTAATTTGTTCTTGATTGCCTAAGTGAACACTTATTTTAAATCAAAATAAAAAAATAAACTGATCACTTATTGTGAAGGTAGCATATCATCGACTCTTTAAAAACTCCTCTAACTTTATTTTCTACACTTTTCATTCCCGTTTCAATAGTTTAATCGAAAACAATTTACCGCATCGCATAAGGGAATGGTCCTATAATGTGCTCTATCTTATTCCACCCAACTCACTTTCTCCCTATAAATACTCTTCTCCAGCTTCCCTCTTCTCTTCCAAAGGAGAACACACTTTTCTCAGTCTCTACTATTCAGTAGGTTTTCTCAGTTTCAAAACAACAGTTGTAGCATACAAAATTACCACAGCAAAACAAATTCTCTAAGTTTCGAGAAGGAAAAAATGGATGCATATACAGTTCACCTAGCGATGGCGGCACTAGTCGGAGCATCGCTAGTGGCGGTATCGGCGTATTATATGCACCGTAAAACCCTAAATCAGTTATTAGAGTTTGCGAAAACGATAGATAGGGATAGGGACCGGGATGACGTGGCGACGACGGAGGACGTCGACGGTGAAGAGGCAGAGAAGCATTTGAGGAAGTACGGCGGTGTTGCTGCGGAGAAGCGTCGGAATCATAGCCGGAGGAAAGGGAGTAATGGATATTACCGCCGTGCTTCAGCTTCGTTGCCCGACGTGACTACGGCGACTTCCGGCGAGGTTGAGGAAAACAGGAATGGTCCTGTACACGTGGATTCTATTCCGGTCGGTTTGCCTAGGCTTCACACGCTTCCTGAAGGTATGTGATAGAATTAAAGTTATATGCACGGACAGTGTAGTCAATTTTTTAAAGTAGCAATGTAATTTAACCTGTTCTAACTGGTTAATTACCATTTATTAAAGATTACTATTAATCAGTGCTATTAAAGCGAGTTACCAGCGATTAACTTTTGAGTGACCTAATAGTGTAAATTTACACAGTCAGTGCACTTAAGGATTAAAATTATATGCTTTACTGTATCTCTATTCACTCAATGCTTTTAAAGTGGGAATGCCTGCAATTATCTTTTAAATGGACCTAATAGGTGTAAATATTTTTTACACCGTCACTACAGAAACTTGATAAGGATAAACCTTATACTTATTTAATGTACTGAATATATGTTTGCTATGGTATTTCCAGACAGTGTAGTAACTTGTTTTTGTCTTCAGAAATTGATCATTTTGAATTATGATACCGTGGAGAAAAACTATCAGTTACCTAATATTCAAATGAGAAAAGAATCTTTGGCTTGATTTGAAGACGTACATGCTTGAAGCAGATGTGTCATTACAGTTATATATATAATAATAAGGCCAATAGGCCTCTTATAAAGTTGGTGAGTTTTAAATAATGGGTGGAATTAACAAGTTGGTCTCCTCATTAGGTCCTGATGTTTGGTGCTGGATATCTAGATACATGCTTTTAAAAAGTTAATTCATCTCTTAGTTTCCTTTCCAATTGCTGAGATATTTCATCTTTAAATTAAATCCGGACCCACTATTTCAGTTGGATAGAAATGACGGTGCATTATTAGGTTAGGGACAAAGGAAAGGAATCTTTTTTGTTCTGATTTCTGTTTTAACAATATATAATAGAGTGGGAGGGATGTAGAGAATAGAGATATAGATGACCTTACTAATTTGGCATTAAAGCATAGGTTGATCGATTGTAAATTTCTTATTACTCACGTTTAGCGCCAAGAAGGTGCTGATTATGTATACAGTTGTATAAAGATGGCATCTCCTATTGATAAGAGAGGTTAGATCAAGCAGAGAGCTCCCTCCACCTCTTAACCTTGAGGGTGGGCTTCGAGTCACTAAAGGGACAAAGTGGGGAACACGATTGACTCTCAGGAAGGAGGGTTTGGGTGGAGTAGATCTAGGTTACCAATAAATTACTGCGTAGGGAAGTAACAAGAAAAAAAAAAAAGGAAACTATCTCTGTCATGTGCAACATTTAGTTTATCCCAAAATAGAAGATATGCTACAAAGGTATTTTTAGATTATACAAAGATCTTATTCATTCTTCAAAGTATAAATTGTTCCTTTTTCTTCATAAGAGCAGTATAATGCATACAAGGAATGCCAGTCCAAGTTTTCCTGTTGTCTGAATTCTGCTGCCCTTCCAATCACAAAAAAGATTGCCTAAAGGCATTAGGCGTTACCTACTTGGGTTCAAAGAGTTTCAAGCACATGACAATGCAGAAATAAATGGTTGACCTTTTACAAACTTTTTTTTTTCACACCTGATTTTGATCTCCTTCAACAAATTATCTTGGATAAGATAGGCTTCATGTAATAATCCACCCAAAACATGCAACTCTTTGGGGAGCCTTGATTTTCCTAAGCATTTCTCATGGCCAAACATTCCTGTTGTTGCTGGACCAAGTGTACCCAGATTTACTATGCAGAACCCTGTGCTATCCTCTGGTTTACTCGATAGCAGGATTATCATAATTTTTTGGGAATTTCCTCCTAAGTTTTAAGTGACAAAAAGGAGTTGTACATCCAGGCGTGTCCTGCGCATTGTGCAAATTTTTCTCAATATACTAGGTGTTCAGATGGGAGTGATAGGAAATGACTCTACAACAACAACAAACCCAGTATATTCCCACAAGTGGAGTCTGGGGAGGGGAGTGTGTACGCATACCTTACCCCTACCTAGTGAAGGTAGAGAGACTGTTTCCAATAGACCTTTGGCTTAGAAAGAGTGAGAAGAAGAAGGGGAAGAAAAGGAAGAAGACGCCAGGGGAAGAAAGAGAAAAGGGAAGGGGGGGGGGAGAATTAATAGTACTAAACACTAACAACAAGAAATACGATAACAGAAGCAAACTAAATCACATGACGAAGTAATGATCTACTAAAGCATAAGAAGGAACTTGAGTGCTTCCAAAATAACTGGTAAGAAAAGGAGAAACTTACAACTACCTACTACCTTTCTACCCTTATCCTCGACCTCCATACCTTTCCATCAAGGGTCATGTCCTCAGTAAGCTAAAGCCGCGCCATATCATGTCTAATCACCTCTCCCCAATACTTCTTTGGCCTACCTCGACCTCTTTTCAAACCTGCCATGGTCAGCCTCTCACATCTCATAACAGGAGCATCAATGCTTCTCCTCTTTACGTGCCCGAACCATCTCAGCCTCGACTCTCGCATCTTGTCCTCCACGGAGGCCACTCCCACTTTGTCCCGAATAGCTTCATTCGTAATCTTATCTCTCCTGGTATACCCACTCATCCTTCTCAACATCCTCATTGTTACTACTTTCATCTTCTGCACATGTGAGTTCTTAATTGGCCAACGCTCTGCCCCATATAACATAGTTGGTCGGACCAACACTTTTTAAAATTTGCTTTTAATTCTTGGCGGCACATTCCTATCACAATAGACGCCGGACGCAAGCCTCCATTTCATCCATCCCGCTCCATTGCGATGTGCGACATCCTCGTCAATCTCCCCGTTACCTTGGATAATAGACCTGAGATACTTGAAACTATCTTTCTTGGGGATAACTTGAGTATCAAGCTTCACATCCACTTGTGACTCATGAGCCCCGTCACTGAATTTGCACTCTAAGTATTCTCTCTTAGTCCTGCTCAACTTGAAACCTTTAGACTCCAAGGTATGCCTCCAAACCTCCAACCTTGCGTTGACCTGGCTTCCGTCTCGTCGATCAACACGATATTATCGGCAAATAGCATGCACCATGGCATTTCCCCCTGTATCTGCTGTGTCAGCACGTCCATCCTCAAGGCAAATAACAACGGGCTAAGAGCTGATCCCTGGTGCAGCCCCATAACAATTGGAAAGTGCTCCGAGTCCCCTCCCACGGTTCTCACCCGAGTCTTAGCACCATCGTACATATCCTTAATCACCCTAGTGTACGCTACTGGAATGCCGCTAACCTCCAAACACCTCCACAAAACTTCCCTCGGCACTTTATCATACGCTTTTTCAAGGTCGATAAACACCATGTGCAAGTCCTTTTGCCTTTCCCTATACTGCTCCACTAATCTCCTCACCAGATGAATAGCTTCAGTAGTCGAGCGCCCCTGCATGAATCCGAACTGGTTCTCGGAAATAGACACGCTCCTCCTATTCTGACTTCCACCACCCTCTATTATTAAGATTTTTAACGATATCTAATATGTCAAAGTAGCGGCATGTAAAATCGATGAATTGGAAATCATGTTACAGCATAACAGTCAATGAAGGTGGAGTGGTTCATGGGAGATCATGGTTCAAATCCCATCCTAGAAAAAAAAAAGTTTGGTGATTTCTTCCTATGTGTGAGTGTTGTTGGACAGAGTTACCCCATGCTTACGTTGCTGGAAGATAACAGGTCACCGGGGTGTACTAGTCAAGGTGCTCGGAAATTGGCCTGTACACCATGAAAATGTACCAATACACTGCATTTATCAAAAACCAATAAAAGAGAAAAACACATAAAAAATTTAAAATGCACTCCTTTTTGATTTAGCTGAATCCTTTCATTATTTGGCTATAACCAAGGCAAAGGAATTATTGATCACAAAAATTACTTGATCTTCAAACATCTTTTTATCTTACTTCTATAAAAAAAAAGTAAGACCCCCCCCTCCCCNGACAATTGCTATGGGGTATAGAATGGCAAGGAATTATCCTTTTTTATAACAAAAGATTTTCAGTAGCACCAACATCTTATGGTCAAGTGAAATGTTAATAACCCAAACTTTTATTCAAGTGCAGTAGGAGTTTACATGGCTATACATATTGTTTCAGTACAACCTATGTACTGATCTTTTAATATACACAATATGTTACCTATCTCAAAAAAAAAAAAGTTTACATGGCTATACTTGCAGATATATGGATAATGCTCATATTGATACAGTCATGACCTTGTTTGACAGTACTTGAGACAGTATTTAAGTGGAATCTGAGAAGGGAGAAATTTGCCTTGACCGTGCTCTGGTTATGATCAAACTGTGTGCATCATTTGTTTCATAGAGTAGCTGGCTGTAGTAAAATTGTTTTCTTTGACAACTTTTGCCATGAAAGATCTCGTTCAACTATAAGTGCATGTTTTTGTATTTGATTCTTTCATTTGCTTTGATTCCAGAAGTTTACAAAATGTTGCTTATTTTCTCTCTTCTTTGATTAGAACTGATTTCTAAGTTTACCATGAAGGGTGACGTTCACTTTTTATTTTTAAAGGGAAATCGAGATCCGCACATTCTCTGAGACCTACTTCTCCCAAGTCTCCAGTTGCAAGTGCCAGTGCATTTGAAAGTATAGAAGGATCAGACGAGGAAGACAATTTGACTGACAATGCTAAACTCGACACTTCATATCTACACACCAATGGGAATGTGGTACTACTGGAATATTCAAACTTCTAATTCCTCCATTTTCCTGAACTCCCACACCACTCCTCCCCCCCCCCCCCCCCCCCAAATATATAAAAAAAAGAAGGAAAAAGCCATCATAAATGGTGCTTTTTGAGTCTAGTATATTACTTATCATTGAAAAATATACTTTAAGGGTCATAATGACTGCTAGGACACTTTCACTATCTTCTTCATGAACATAACATTATTCTGATAACTTCTGTAGAATCTTATAACTATTTGCTAAATTGTTAAACAGGGCCCAGATGTCAATGGGGATCAAATGGCGATGGCTGCACCAAGTATGATTCGCACGCACAGTGTATCTGGTGACCTGCATGGTGTTCAACCTGATCCAATAGCTGCAGATATTCTAAGGAAAGAGCCGGAGCAAGAAACATTTGTACGACTGAAGATATCTCCTGGTGGTAATGCCCTTTTCGTATTCCAGTCCTTGTCATGCTACTGACTGTTCTTAAACAACTGTGTTTATTTGAATCTTGGAGACAAGGAAATAGAATTTTGGTATTCAGAGAAAGCAAAATAACACTGAGCGAAAGCCTAAAATTTTACATTTGCTTGTTTTAGAGTCTTGCTGCTGTGCATCATTTCAACTTGTTCATCTGTATCCTAAAGCATGTTACAGTTAGTTTATTACTCGAAGCATCTTTCAAAGGAAGTTTTTCAAAAAAAAAAGAAATTTCTGTTCTCTCTCTCCATTTACTTTGAGATTGAAGTATCAATTAGATATGGATGAGTTCGGTGCCAACATGCCTATACCAGGTGAAACAATGCTCATAACTGAACGTGGAAGAAAAAATAGAGGGAAATAACTTGTGTTGCCCATGAGACACTTTCCTATAAAAATATAAACAGCTTCCATATCATGCTGCATAGCCCAGATCACGAAGGGCAAGATTAAGATTCTTTGACTAATACCTTGTCTCCTCCATTCTATAGTGGCTGATCTAAATTGGCTATTTATTTCCTTCTTGGTTCTCTAAATATACCTTGCACGACCCGGTGAAACTGGGAAACCATGATGCTCATCTACATTGTCGTTACATTTTTTTCTTTCATTGGATAAGCTATGTTGATGCTCTGTATAATTGTTTTTTAGCAACAAATTAGTGCACAATGTGCAGCCTGAAACTTAATGCACTGTTTTGCCAATTTGGAGTGTTTATGCAGGTGTGAGGAGTATTATCTCGCTATGTTTCTTGCTGGAAATATAATCTCTTTGAATCATGCTTCAAATCTTGGATCTTGTTACCCAGGGTNGTGAAAAAGTAGAGATTTCTCTTGGATCTGTTAAGGTTCCTGCATCCCTTAAATTTTTGTTCGTACTATTTCTAGAGACACCATCTGCCGATGAAGCGGAGGTTTATCGGAACATACAAGCATGTCTTGAACTGAGACGAAGTTACGTATTCAGGGAGGCTGTTGCTCCTTGGGTGAAGGAAGTAATTTCTGATCCAAGCACCCCAAAGCCAAATCCAAATCCATTTGAATTCACTGCAGAAGGAAAATCTGATGTAAGCACAACTATCTATTTTAATGCTAGAGCTTTGTGGTACATGTGTGCTACTGATTTTATATTTTTTGGAACAAATATTACGCGTTCTATTACTCATAACTTTCTATTAATGAACTTCTTGATTACTTCTGCAGCATTATTTTCAGATGGAAGATGGAGTTGTTCATGTATATGCAAATAAAGATTGTAAGCTTAGAAGCTCTTGCCTGCTTCATTTTTTCCCCAACGTTTTTAAGTTCTGAAGGCCTATCTAACTCCTGTTTATTTACTCTTAATGTCTGCCACCCCCTTTTCTCCCTCCCCCTTTGCACTTGGACCAGCGAAAGAGAAACTTTTTCCTGTTGCTGATGCTACGACCTTTTTCACCGACTTTCATCACATCCTTAAAGTAATAGCAGCTGGGAATATCAGAACTTTATGTCACCATCGCCTAGTGCTTCTGGAACAAGTATAAACCTCTAGGCTTGCATTTCTTTCAGATTATATGATATGTTATTTTTGTTATGACGCTTACGTTTTATCCAGAAATTCAATCTTCATTTGATGCTCAATGCGGATCGAGAGTTCCTTGCTCAGAAAAGTGCACCTCATCGTGACTTCTACAATGTGAGGAAGGTTGATACCCATGTTCATCACTCAGCATGCATGAATCAGAAACATTTGTTAAGATTTATCAAGTCAAAGTTGAGGAAGGAGCCAGATGAGGTAATTTTCTGTTTGAATTTCTTTGCTGATGTGTGCTTCAGCTTTCCAATTTCATTGGGCAGCTAAAGCAGTTTATTTTCTTCAGGTTGTGATATTTCGTGATGGAACATATATGACCTTAAAGGAAGTCTTTGAGAGCTTGGATTTGACCGGGTAAGGAATAAGTTTCTAGGAGTTGGTGCTTGAAAGAGCATGTGAGATGACCTAGCTATTAACATTATTTCTGATGCCATTGTTTACTTTCTCTTTAAAAAGGTATGATCTCAATGTTGACCTATTAGATGTTCATGCTGACAAGAGCACCTTTCATCGTTTTGACAAATTTAACCTCAAGTACAATCCATGCGGTCAAAGTAGGCTGAGAGAGATTTTTCTCAAGCAGGATAATCTTATACAAGGTATGCTTTATGTATCTTTTAGATGGTCTTTCTAGTTGACCCTTCCATCATCATTGTAATCATCTTCTATAAAATCAAGTAGAAGTTGGGATATGGTTTCAATGTTATCAAGCATATATCCTAATCCCTAGGCTGCATGAACTTTTGTATGGGTAAGTATCTAAATGTGTATGAGTAAGTTTCTTGTATGGGTATGTTTCATTTTAGTGAATGACCATGTCAACTGGTCATGTCTGTTAAATATTCTGAAACCTATGTTGCTTGGACTCTCCGAAAATGTGGCCGGATACGTGTCGGATCCTCCAAAAGCAGTGCATTTTTGAAGGATCCGACACGGGTGCGGCTACAGTTTGGAGAGTCCGCGCAACATAGTTTGAAACATATGAACTTTGGTGATAAATGGATTGAATGGATCAACTATTGCATATCCACTGTTAGGTGTTCAATACTGATAAATGGGAACCCACGCGGTTTCTTCAAATCTCATAGGGGGCTGAGGCAAGGGGATCCACTATCTCCCTGCCTATTCACTCTGGTAATGGAAGCCTTTAGCATGATGCTAAAGAGGGCAGAAAATTTGGGCTGGATAAAAGGCATGAGTTTTGGGAGAATCGGTGCTGAAAAGGTTACTTTATCCCATATTTTATATGCTGATGACACCCTTCTGCTGTGTGAAACAGACAATGAGCAAATGCTTTTTCTTAGAGGGATTTTCAGCATTTTCAGCATCAATGTAGATGATTGCATAGAGGAACTAGCCGATATCCTGGGATGTAAGGTAGAGAATTTCCCCACTATTTATTTGGGATTTCCACTAGGGGCAAGAAGGAATGATCAAAGTATTTGGCAAGGTGTCCTTGACAGATGTGCTAATAAGCTTATTCCATGGAAGAAACAATATCTATCCTTTGGAGGCAGACTCACTCTTATTAACAGTGTATTAGATGGTATGCCTACCTACCTAATGTCCTTATTCTCAATGCCAGTTTCAGTGGAGAAAAAAATAAACTCATTGAGAAATCAGTTTTTATGGGATAATAATGTAGATAAGAAAAGAATTCATTTGGTGAAATGACAGGTGGTTCTCAGGGATAAGAAAGGGGGTGGGATGGGTGTGAGAAATTTGAAGCTGCATAATAAAAAAGTCTACTATTCAAATGGTTGTGGAGATATAGCTTGGTAGGTAAGGAAGTTTGGAAAAGCTGATAAATTCCATCTACGGGAAAGCAGGAAGGGTGGAGAACTGTAAATGGAGGAATATGGAAGGGCATAAGTAAGCATTGGGAAGAGTTTAGCAAGTTTACTAGATTAGATGTGGGAACTGGAGTAAAAATCAGGTTTTGGACAGATGTATGGGTTGGGTATGAATGCTTTAAAAATAAATTTCCTACTCTATTCAATTGCTCAACAAATAAGAATGGTACTGTTGCTGATTTTCATTCTAGTTCTGGTTGGCAGATTGTCTTCCGAAGGAATTTGAATGATTGGGAAATAGTAGAATTTTGCGAGCTGCTTCAGCAATTGAGATCAGTTTATATTGATCATGGTAAGAGGGATACTCTAATCTTGCTGGCAAGTAAAGACAAGAAATTCTCAGTCAAGAATTGCTACAGTATGTTGATAAAGCTGTCAGGACAGTGGGATACTTCTTGGCCATGGAGGATGATATGGAAGACAAAAGCTCCTGTGAAAGTAGCATGTTTTGGATGGGTCACCACCTGGGAGGCATGCTTAACTCAAAATAACTTGCAGAAGAGAGGCTTTTCCCTATGTAACAGATGCTACCTATGTCAAGTGGATCAAGAAACAGTTGAACATTTGTTCCTCCGTTGCAGATTTTCTAGAGAATGCTGGGAGTTATTCCTAAATATTTGTGGTATTGCATGGGTGATGCCTCAGAATGTGAAGGGGTTGATGGTAGGTTGGCAGCATCAGGTGATATCAAAAGAGATAAAGCAAATATGGAGCACTATCCCATTGTGCACCTTATGGACAATATGGCTCGAAAGGAACAAGGCTTGCTTTGAAGGACAGAGAGCTCCAATTGCTAGAATTAAGAGCATTTGTTTACAAAATTTGTATCTTTGGTGCAAATCAAGCCCACTAGTTAGTTCAGATCAGTACATGGATTTCTTGGAGTTGTTAGGAAGAAGATTGTAATAGGCTGTTTTTTGTTTCCTTGTTATCTTCTGTACCATCTTGGTACTATTCAATAAAATCTTTATCTTATCAAAAAAAGCTATTTAATAATGTTTTATGGTTTCTGTTGCAGGCCGTTTTCTTGCCGAACTGACTAAGCAAGTATTTTGTGATCTTGCTGCAAGCAAATATCAAGTAAGTCCATTTTTACTTATAACAGATAACTGTTACCCTCCTTTTTCTTTTTCTATTTTATCCTAATCTGTTCGGATGTACCTGGAAGCCCTTCTGTGAATTTAAAGATATATCCTGTCTGGAGTGACAGCAAAAAAACTATGATGATATTAAAGAGTAAGGGAAGAAAGATCTAGGAACTCTAAATAGTCGTTTGAAGAACAAGTTACATTTACGTACTCGTCACAAAGTTTTTTGAGATTTCACTGGCTTCTCTGGTTGCTTAATTATTGCAAAATGCAATCTTAAAGATCTTTGTGGGCTTAAAGGTGATTATTGTTATGCCTCAGTCCAACGTTTATTATTCAAGTTTGCGGTGCTGGCAGTGGCGAAGCCAGGAATTTTCTGAAGGGTGTTCAAACTTGAAATAAGTAAAAAAGAAATTCTGACAAAGGGTGTTCAATATATGTTATGTACCTCTAAAACCTAATATTTTACTTATATATGCAGTGTAATTTTCTGACAAAGGGTGGTGAATTGACCACCCTAACTTAAGTGTGGCTTCGCCCCTGGGTGCTGGCGATATGGTGTTTTTCCTATTGCTATTGAAACATGACAGGAACAACATTGTAGATTTGTTTAATAAGGAATGAAAAAGATTTCACTTGGTCGAGTCATGTTTTGTCTGCCCTTTTCATTTGGCAGGTCTTAATCTTTCTCGATTTTTGCTTTTAGATGGCAGAATACAGGATATCAATATATGGCCGAAAGATGAGTGAATGGGACCAACTTGCAAGCTGGATCGTAAACAATGAACTTTACAGTGAAAATGTTGTCTGGTTGATCCAGGTATGATGTAATATATGTAACTTTTTGTCAGCTGTCAAGTCCTAATAGGTCAACTTAAGCATTTTAGGCTGTCACGTCTTAACTAGTTGTTCACGAATTAGAGCTTGTACATCAATTTCCAAAAAACTTTAGGTGAGATATGTACAACTTAAAAGGAGGTGTGTGATTGTCATGATTTCTTTAAGCTATTGATAGGAGTACTCTTACAATAGGCATTATAGACTAGAGGTTGAAATTTACGTTTTGACTTGGAAAACTGATATTGATACATGTACTTTTTTGGGGAAAGACCAAAGGAGGTCTAAGTTGGTGTTAGAATATAGATGTGAATAAAATCAAATCTTACAGAGGTGGCTTTGCTCTAATGACTAAAATCCCTTATTCAATGAAAAGTCTGCTCTAATGACTAAAGTCCCTTATTCAATGAAAAGTCTGCTCTAATTATATCTTATAAATCAGTAAGAGATAGTCAAATACACTCTTAATTTTCAATCTTATGAATCTTGGTTTAGTCTGATTATTTTCAAACTAACACAAATTATCTTACTCCAGATCGTTTTAATCCTTTCAGTGGCTTAGTTTTATTTTTTACTTCCTTTTTAATGGTTGACCATTTGGTTTTCGTGTGCGCATTTTGATGTGGTAATATTATTCTTAAACTTCCTGCTTTCTTTGTCTCCAGCTTCCAAGACTATATAACATATACAAAGAAATGGGAATTGTAACATCATTTCAAAATATCCTAGACAACATCTTTCTGCCCTTGTTTGAGGTTACTGTGAACCCAGATTCACATCCTCACCTGCACATCTTCTTGAAACAGGTATGATTTACTAAACATTTGAATCCACCCTTTTATTGTTTTAAAAAAAAATGAAGACATCACATGCTTGGCCCAAGTTTGGTTGAAAATTGAAGATTTGGTTGTTTCAAGTTTAACCCACACTTGTGGTGCTGAATTCTAGGAAGTACTAAAACTGCTTGCTATGCTATCGTGTGCTGGGATGGAGTCGGATATGATCCAAGCGTTGACTATATTAGGGTGATTAAAGACATGTATGCTGGAGCTAAGACTCGGGTTAGGACAGTAGGAGGCGACTCTAAACACTTTCCAGTTATTACGGGGTTGCACCAAGGGTCTGCGCTCAGCCCATTCCTATTTGCCCTGGTGATGGATGCACTGACTCATCATATTCAAGGGGAGGTGCCATGGTGCATGCTATTTGCTGATGACATTATTCTAATTGACGAGACACGAGGCGGCGTCAACGAGAGGCTAGAGATTTGGAGACATGCTCTTGAGTCTAAAGGTTTCAAGTTGAGCAGGACGAAGACGGAATACCTCGAGTGCAAATTTGGAGTTGAGCCGNTTTATGGTACTAATATATCGTCTCTTGTTGCTTGTTTTTGAGCCGAGGGTCTCCTGGAAACAGCTTCTCTACCCTTCGGGGTAGGGGTAAGGTCTGCGTACATATTACCCTCCCCAGACCCCACTTGTGGGATTATAATGGGTCGTTGTTGTTGTTGTTGTTGTTGTTGTTGTTGTTGTTTTCTGTTCCCTTCGTTCTGTGATATTGGGGCATTCATCTACGTGGCGGATATAAAATCTTGGTTGAGCCTATATATGTGATGAATAAAGTAGATGGTCTAAATGGTTATTGAGAAGGAGAAAGATACATAGCTGTGGTGGCATGTTTTTTTGATTTTAATCCACTCTTTTTGGATTGTTTACCACAATCATCACTTCTTATATTCTTAATTTTAATATGTTCTTCTTCATACTTTCACTTCTTGTTCTGTCATCTTAAAGGTTGTTGGATTGGATTTGGTGGATGATGAAAGCAAACCCGAAAGGAGGCCTACCAAACACATGCCTACACCTGCTCAATGGACCAATGCATTCAATCCTGCCTACTCATACTACGTGTACTATTGTTATGCGAACCTCTACACCCTGAATAAGGTTCGTAAGTTACTCCATTTCTATCTCCTCCTTTCCCCTTTGGTTCTGCCATCTTCACTTCCTTGTCTGATTGGAAACAAAGGATAGTGCTACAACCTATTTCGTAATGATCTCCAGTTGTGGTTGCTTTGGGGGAAAGATTGGTAAATGGATAGAGGGAGTTTTAATGTGAATAAACCAGAATCATATCCTTTGTGTTAGCACAACACATTTGTGGGGTGCTTATAACTAACGTTGCTGTTGCTTGAGAAAGACGGCGAAAAACTCATTTTTGAAGACTTAAAAACAAAACGAAGGTTGTTTAGAGTCTAGCAGCAGTCTCTCTTAGCTATCCTTGACTTTCAGATAAGATTCTATTTCTTTATGGATAAAAAAAAGCTCAATTCTTGTAATTACAGTCTATTTTTTTTGGTTGTTAAACGAAGTTGGGTGGTTACATATTACTCCCCGTCATTAGTAAATCCCATTTCCAGAGCTGTAGATTTGTCTACCGTAATACTATTAAAAGGATCTATCTACCACAATAATCTCGTTGATATTTTGCTTGTAAACGTTTCACACGTCGAGTTCTGACCCCATGCAAAATAACATCTCAGCTACGCGAGTCAAAGGGCATGACGACCATCAAATTCCGGCCACATTCTGGGGAGGTAGTCACTCAGGCTTATTGTAGTGTTCTTTAATTAATGAGTTTTTTTTGCTTGCTGATTAGATGATTTACATCTACAGGCTGGAGATATTGACCACCTTGCAGCAACTTTCTTAACAGCCCATAATATTGCTCATGGTATCAATTTGAGAAAGTCTCCTGTTCTCCAATACCTGTACTACTTGGCCCAGGTAATAAAGAAATTAAAGTGAATCTTGGTTAGCCATGTGTGTTATCTGGTCATCCATCATGACTTTTTTTTTTGTCAGATTGGCTTGGCAATGTCTCCTCTCAGTAACAACTCTTTATTTTTGGACTACCATCGAAATCCTCTTCCCATGTTCTTCTTGAGGGGCCTGAATGTTTCTCTTTCAACTGATGATCCATTGCAAATTCACTTAACAAAAGAAGCCCTCGTTGAGGAATACAGTATAGCTGCTTCAGTGAGTATTTTAGTCTCTTGGCTGAAAGATTTATGATGTCACTTGGTCAAGGGGATTAATAGTTTTTGTCATGCAGGTTTGGAAGTTGAGCGCATGTGATTTATGTGAGATTGCACGTAATTCAGTATACCAGTCAGGCTTCTCCCATGCGCTAAAGGTTTGTGTATCTCCTTGAAAATTTAAATGCTGTTGGCATGATAATCTGCTCCCAGCTCTCAATATTCATCAAGCTCGTGTCCTTTTCCAATTGCTACCAAACTCCACTTTCACCTGTGTTCATTAATCTGTTGATGCGTTGTTTTCTTTTAAATCCCCGAGTTGCCTTATGTGAATTTGCTTTATTTACCTTTCTGTGAGACACAGAAGTCGAAAATTGGGTAAAGTATGACTGTGGATACCTGTGTGGCTGTATTCTAAGTCCATTTAGCAAATTTACCAATTCTAATCCAAAGTGTGTAGATCCCTATGGATGTATATCTCATGTCTATGTTTTATCTTGACCATATTGGTAGTAGAGTTTTATTAGGGGTTCCTTCCTATTCTTGACAGCCACTCTGCTCGGTTCTGTTTCTTGTTAGGATAAGCACCCGGAAACTTGTAGGTTCAGTGGTTAAATTGTTTTGTTGCGTTTCCTGTGTTCATTCTCTCTTCTTCTTTCCTTCTTTTTTTTTNTTTGTGGCTTTGGAATTAACCACACTTTATGCATATTTGACTTGTTTATCTTCTATTGCATATCTTACCTAAATGGCTGGTGTGCTAATTCTACGGCGGGTATTTTGATGCTTGTGTTTTGTGGTCTTCTTTTCTGACATATTCCTCCACTTATATACATAGTCCCACTGGATTGGGAAGGAGTACTACATAAGAGGGCCAGATGGAAACGACATTCATAGGACAAATGTGCCTCATATCAGGCTCGAATTCCGCGATATGGTAAGTACTTATATCTAGGGAGTATATAATGTTCTCAATTTAGATTAGTCTGGTGGAGTATTGTGTTGATTTCTGCCTGTAAAAACCCTTTCTGGCTTCCATTTGTCCATATTTGCAGGAATTGTTTGTATCCAGAATCAGTACTTTTTTTTGAATATTTTCTTTTGTTTCATTTTACTAGAGTTTTCCGGCTTGTGGTATTGACAGAAGAATAGTGATCTCTGTTCTTGTTACTGTTTTTTTCTCGTTATTGTTGAAAATTATAAAACAAAATTTTCATATGTTGCACTGGATTTGATTGACATGAATCTTGGGTTTCTTTTAATAGTCAAACCCTGTATTTGACCTATAGAACTTCATTGTTCCTAGATATGGAGGGAGGAGATGCAACAGGTTTTTCTGGGCAAGGCTGTATTTCCTGCATTCGTTGACCCATGATCTGCAATGCTAATGCATTATCACGGGCTCTGGGTATCGATTCACAGTATCTGGAGGTAAGGAAACAATTTGAAGTCCTAGTTATCTCCATTAGTCATGACCTTTTTTTTTTTTGAAAATAAAATCATAACATAAATCTCTTCAGAAACAAATTTCGAAATTAGCATGGTCAATCTTATATCATCATAGGGATTAGTCACGACTTGGAAGTATCAAATTAAGCAGTTTGCCTACTTGTGCAGAGTTGCCCATCCGGTAACTCAAGAAGCTTCTCCACCATGAGATATCTGGATTTTTGAAGCTGAGAGGGTGAAATTTTGGTATATGCTAAGAGCTTATTAGCCAAAGATGTGAAAGACCATTGGATATATATACTTGATAGTTCAGGAAGCAACTGGAGCTTAGAGCCTATAGCACAACCAGCAAGGCAGTCCGTCCACTATATACGGAAGCAAGCAACAACAGCCCGTGAATAAGGAGTTATGTATATCATGTGTGTCGTAGGTTACAAACTTCAGATGCATCGCAAGATGGAATTCTGAATGTTCCATGGTTCTGTTGTATCATATTTGACATCTTGGCTAAATAAAGAGTGCTTCCGCCCAATTTTCTTTACTTTTTCCCCTTTGGGTGAAGAGGTGAAGCTGTTGTGAGGGAACGAGGCGGAGTTGGGTTTTGATTTGTTAATGCACCACATATATTCGCATATGTATTTATTACGTGCTTTAGCAATATTGAGTTGGTTATATAATTCCTGAGCTATGTATTTGAGTTATTATAGTTTGATAGCACAAAGCCATGGCACTTTACTAGTAATAATTTTGAAGACTGTCTCCTCGAGTTGAGGCTTTGTCGGAACCGTTATTCAATGAATTAAGTAGTTGAAATTTTTTGCAGGGTGGATGTTTATAGTGTTCTTGCTCATGTAGTACTTTCATAATCCTTATTTTTCGTAATCTTTTATGTGAAAAATAGCAAGTGGGGATACTCAATTCAAAGGCAACCTCTATGACAACCTATGGATGAAGCATTCTTTGCTGAAAAGTGTTCGAAATGGTAAATGAGGAATTAGAGTGTATCCATGGAGAATAAGATGAAAATAAAGAACGAATGGAAAGTCATAAATAGAAGCGCGTTAAATTGCAACCATAAAGATAAACTAAATGTTATGTGTTTCATTTTGGTCTTTTTTTACCTGGTTAAAGAATGATAATAGTTGAAAAAAAATTCGTTTTAAATTTTCTAGAGTCGTAATGATCTTTTCGACACTTGTTCTTTTTAGTAAACGCAAGATTCTTGTGCCGCACCGTCTCGTTTACTTAAAACTGACCATCTTTGTCGTCGTCGTGTTTGTAAACATAATCGAATATAAATATTACTTCAATTTTTCTCTGTAACTACCAGTGAATGGCAACTACAATAGGCATGTTGATCTCATCGTTCCTCTACTAACTCATTACTTTTTATCTTGTATGTATCTTTTGTCGCTTAAAAAATTTGAATGTTATTTCACTTCATTTGTTGAACTTGTAAATCAAGAAAAATACTTTCTTTATTGTACTATAATCATCTAGTATCCCGGCACTTAGTGACAGATTAATTTAGATTCTCGCATATGCTCATTAAAGGGGAACATTATATCCACTATATCAAGGAGTAAGTTAAGAAAGGCATACAAACAGGTTAAGAGGCAAATTATTTGGTAAGAACGATCGCTTCCACCTTGCACTTGAAATGTTCGAATCTTGTATTCTTCTTCACTTCACTCCTCTCCTTTCTCTATTTTGTAATTGAAAATGTTAAGAGAGAAGTAGATCCTAAACTAAAGAAGGATAAGTAGTCAATTCCTGCTTGAATATTCCAGTGTTATATATTATCCCAATTTATAATTAATAAAGTTATCTCAGTTTTTGGCTAAAGGAAAAATAAAAAAAGAAAGAACACGCTAACGTCACGTCAGTCCGGGTGAACAAAAAAGAAAACGGAGAAGGGCTATTACTGTCCCTATACTATTGTATACTCATTAGTTATTTGTACCCCGTTAAAGGGTTACGGATCGAGTCGCGCTTGGGTTCAAATCGGGTGCAAAGATGTGTAACCAAAGGACAATTAAAATAAGAAAAGAAAAGAAAAGGGGTCGAGTGTCTTAAGATTGAGCCACGTGTCCGTTTCGACTGGGTTCATTGATGAGAGAGTACATTTACGAATAACCCTAAGGGATCGTTTGGTACGTGGACAAAATAATACCGAAATTGTAACTCGATACTAATTTATACCACATAAAAGATGGAATAATATAATCCCACAACTGGTGGTATAAAGTGGGATAAGATTTAAAATTATGTTTATACCTTGTTTGATTAAAGGTACAAATTTATCTTTGAATAAATTTATACCTCCAACCAAATAATGTACAAATTTAATAGCAACTCTTATCTCACCTAACACCTCGTACCAAAAACCACAGGGATAGAAAAAGTTGAATAGTATAACGGGGTACAAATAACTATCACGTTAGTCTGGACTAACATTTAAACTTTAAGTTACATTTGTTTTAACCTTTAAACTCTTCCCGTTATATTCATGAAAATGCCAATCCAGTTTTTGCAGTCAAAAGACAGGACACAAAATTTGAACCCTATATGAGGGTGAGAGTAACACATTGCAGTATTTTCTTGATTTCTCCGCAACCCCCTTTTCACAGAGTCCTCTTCAGCTTCATCACTCATACTTCTCTTCATTTTCCTCTCAGATGAAGTAAAAATGACTCTGCTTCTGCACTCTTGATTTTGGTAAAGAGTAACCCCTTTTATTCATCCTTTTTTGTTTTGTTTTACCTGTTAATCTTTTACTCTTTTTAGCTTTTATGCTATTATTTGCATGCATTTGCTTGTGATTTTACTCTGTTTGTGCTTGATTCTGTTGACTTTAGGTCATGAACTATTCTGCTTCTGCTCCTCTATCTGCTTTCATTTTCAGACCGTAGAATATTCAAAAAGAAATGAGGTCTTATTTTATGCAAAAACAAAAAGAAAACATAGGAGCTTTTAGTTTTTTCTTTTACCTTTATACATTTTCGCTAGGAGGTTACTTACACAGACATTTTTTTCCTTCAGAATTTCTAAATTTTTTCTTTTTTTACTTTTTCTTTTTCCCGTTTCTGTAAATTTTTACCCTTTTTATTTCTTTATTTTTTCATGAAGAATGAGCTCTAAGTTAGTTATTTGGTTTGCCATTGTTTTTTGTACTTTTAGACAAAAGAAAGAAATTAATAATGTCCTTAATAATATACCTTCTCCTTGAATTGGATGATCTCTGTCAGTAGCATTTTAAATTAAGAAAATGTCTCATTACGAAAGTGATGTTTTTTTTAATAATAGTGATGTTTAGGTCAGCTTGCGCGTATATCGACTAATTCCACTGAGTACCTGCTACCTCCTACCAACACCTGTATCAGGTAACTCTATCCACTAATGCTTGGACAAAGAACTAATGTAGAAAAATAAACTGTGTTACTTGTGAAAAAATAATGATAATAAACTTTGTGCTATTTTGAACTTGGAGAGACAGAAAAAGTTGCTATTGGTAGCAAGGGATGGTCAAACAAATAGAGCCAAATGAAGATGGAAAGTAAGTTTACAAAATTGGAAAGTAAGGAGTATTTGATAGATATAACGCTTCCAAACTGCATAATAATGCTCAGTTTTTTTTGTTTTTTGAATTTTTTTATAGTGGTAAGGCTTAGGAATTAGACAAGAGGGGTTGCTCTGATGGTAAGCAACTCCCACTTCCAACCGAGAGGTTGTGAGTTCGAGTCTCCCCAAGAGCAAGGTGAGAAGTTCTTGGAGGGAAGGATGCCGGGGGTCTATTTGGAAACAGTCTCTCTACCCTAGGATAGGGGTAAGGTCTGCGTACACACTACCCTCCCCAGACCCCACTAAGTGGGATTATACTGGGTTGTTGTTGTTGTTGTTGGTAAGGTTTAGGAAGATGGGTAGAAATTACATAGTGTATTCTTTTTGTCTCTAACAGGATTTGAACCTTATCTTCCATGGTTTTTACCCACTTCATTTCACTAGGCCACACCTTTTGGTGCGTATAATAGTACTTACCCAATCTCATTTTGGCCAAGTTGCTCCGACACGGCAGTTTAGGTGCCGCACCCGTGTCGACACGACACTAGTGTGGGTGTAGGTATGAGATTCGTATCGGATCTGGTCAAGCGATTTTGGGTACTTTGACCACGACGGATGGAAAAATTTGAGACGAGATACAATTTGATTCCTGCAACCAGAACCAAAATTAGGGTAAATTTGAAGAAAATAGCATACCTTATCTAGGAAATCAATACTTTACTTATCTACAACTTGAGAACAAAAAAGAATTCCACACTTTACAAGCTAATACGTAAGTATTCCAGAAAATTTCTCATAATTTAGAGTTATTTTTATATTTTTATTTCTCATAATGTTTATATTTTTATTTTTTTGAATTATTTTAAGCCGGATCCCCGCACCCGTATCGGTACTAGGATCCATATCCCCGAGTCTTAGAATTTACATCTCGAAGAATCTGACCTCTTGATTCGCTCCCGTGTCCGAGCAACTTAGCATTTCGGGTATAGCTCACATCAAGCATAATAAGGTTTTACATACTATCCTCTTGTTTGTTTATGTATGTGACTCTGTGTGCGCGGTTGTGTGAAAGGGATTTACTGATAGAAGTGTGAAAAAAGCCATTTTACTCGTACTTTCATACTGATGTCTTAATTAGATCTCATCTACAAAAGTTACGGTATTGTTTATGGCTTATGCTAATCTGTTGTATGCTTCTAGTGTCAATCTGTTATGCCACTAGACATTGTCTTTGGAGATTTTCTTAAACTTTTTCTCACATTAGCCTTCTTTTGCTGAGAAAAAGGTAAATAACACAATGAAAATGTAGTGTCAATTTTCCGTTTTGTGCTCTGCCCTTTTTCGTATTTAATGAGGTAGAACATTCATGAAAATTTCTTCCAATTTAGACAAAAATTGTTGAACCAATGATATAGTCTTCCTTTGGAGTATTAACGTAACCCCATGTATTTTTTTTAAATTTTTTAATGATGCCATGCTTCAGATTAAATTGGCACTTGCATTTTTCATTAGGATCAGGATTGATATTTGTTGCGTTTTCTGCACCACATTAAGTAAATAGGAATGAAGGGAGTTCGCTATTCACTTGGAACAAACTGTGTGGTTTATTTGGTCATTGTTTAACTAATATCAAGGGTCCTTATAAACTTTACACATTTATGGAATGGAAGTTATGTGTACTCTTCTGTTTTCACATTTTTAAGGAAGTCTTAACAACTCATGGATCATAGTTTTGCAGTTGAAGAACAGTCAATATAAATGTGAGATATGACTCAAGATCAAATTGATGTTCGTCAACATGGTGTAGCAGTTGATCAGAAGAAGCAAAAAATCAAGTGCAACTATTGTCATAAAGTTGTTTCTGGGTTTACCCGGCTTAAATACCACTTAGGAGGCGTTCGAGGAGATGTCACTCCTTGCTTGGAGGCTCCTACACTTGTCAAAGAAGCAATGAAAGCCGAGCTGCATGAGAAGAAAAACGGCAATTTGATCAAGGAGGTTGAGCAGCTTTACCACCCAAATCTTCCGTTGAAGCGGAACTGGTGCCCCCGAGAAGGTGATGGTGAACCAAATAAGACAGATCTCACTCAGTGTTCTGAAAATGGAAGTAAAAAGCATAATAGAGTGAATTCAAAAGTAGCTGGTAGTTCTGTTGTAGATTCATCCTCACGAGAGATTTCGAGATCTATAGGGAGATTTTTTTATGAAGAAGGAATTGACTTTGACGCTATTAGATCACCTAGCTTCCGGAAGATGGTAAAAGCCACCCTTAGTCCTGGGAAGACAATAATATTCCCAAGTTGTCACGAGTTGAAAGGGCGGATCCTTCAGGACGCAGTGGAAGAGATGCAACAATATGCAACGAAGATAAGAAATTCATGGGCAAGTACAGGATGTAGCATCTTGCTAGACGGATGGGTAGATTCAAAGGGTCGAAATCTGATTAATATCCTAGTTTACTGCCCAAGAGGCACCATTTACCTTCGGTCATCAGATATCTCATCTATCAATAACAATGTTGATGCCATGCAAGTGTTCTTCGAGGAAGTTATTGAGGAAGTTGGAGTTGAAAATGTGGTCCAAATAGTTGCATACTCGACAGCTGCTGCCTGCATGATGGAAGCAGGCAAGAAACTAATGGAAAAACTTAAGACAGTTTTTTGGACAGTAGATGCTTCTCATTGCATGGAACTTATGTTACAGAAATTCACAGCGATAGACACGATACAACAAGTTCTGGAGAAGGCAAAATCTCTGACACAATTTATTTACAGCAATGCTACACTCCTAAAGCTTCTGAGAGATGCTTGTCCTGATGAGCTAGTAAGCCCTTCAAAGATAAGGTCGATTGTGCCCTTCATGACTCTTGAGAACATTGTATCACAGAAAGAACACTTGATTAGGATGTTTCAGTCTTCTGATTCGAATTTGGCTTCCACAAGTGAGGGTAAAAGAATGTCAGAAATGGTCAAAGATGAATCCTTTTGGACTGAGGCTTTGATGGCTGTGAAGGCAACCATTCCCCTTGTGGAAATTATAAAATTGCTAAATAGTACTAATAAGCCACTAGTTGGTTTTATATATGACACAATAGATCAAGCTAAAGAGACAATCAAAAAGGAATTCAAAGAGAAGAAATCCCATTATGCAAGATTTTGGAAAGCCATAGATGACGTGTGGGATGAATACCTCCACAGTCATCTCCATGCTTCGGGTTACTTTTTGAACCCAAGCCTCTTTTATTCAAGTGACTTCTACACTGATGTGGAAGTTTCCTGTGGCCTTTGTTACTGTGTTGTTCGCATGACAGAAGATCGTCATATACAGGATAAGATCACGCTGCAAATTGATGAGTATCGCATGGGGAGGGGCACATTTCATTTTGGTAGCTTCAAAGAGAAGTTATCAAATATTTCCCCAGGTTTGTATGATTTTGCACTTTTTTTGTGCTATTTTTATCTTTCTCTGTAATTCGTTATGTTAACCTGGAAGTCATGGATGGCTGCAGCAATTTGGTGGTCACAATATGGTGGTCATTGTCCCGAACTGCAAAGGCTTGCTGTTCGAATCCTTAGTCAGACGTGCAATGGTGCTTCACATTATAGGCTAAAAAGGAGCTTGGTTGAGAAATTATTTACACAAGGGAGGAATCTGATAGAGCAGCAGAGGATGCGTGATTTGGTATTTGTCCATTGTAATTTGCAATTACAAGCTTTTGATCCAGAAGGAAGGAATGACATTACAGATGATGTCATTGATCCCATGGATGAGTGGATAGTTGGGAAAGGGCCTAATTTGATGTCTGAAAACACTGAACTGACATGGAAGAATTTAGACTTGGGAAGCAGAAAAGGTAATGGAAATTTTTGTGTGGAAGAACCTATTATTCATGTAAAGGAGGAAGAGGCAGATAATTGTATATAGAGTAGTAAATGTAAAGTGAAGTGACAATGAATCTTTCTTATGCTGAATTATGTTTACCTTTATTAATACAATGATATTTTGTTCTAGCTCTATGCTACCATACAGTGGCGGGTTAGAAATCTCCCCAAGGTTGTTCAAATTTGAAAGAAGTGAAAAACATTTCGGACAAAGAGTGTTCAATATGTGTATATACATCTAAAACGTAATATTTTACCTATATACACAATATAATTTTTCGACGAATTAACCACCCTTCTGTCCATGTGGCTTCGCCTCTGCTTCCATATGCTATGTTGTTTTGACTTCTAGCAACGGCATGATCTTCCACGTCTGGAGAGAGGCAAACCATCTAGACTTGCTATTTACTTCTATAAGACAGGAGATTTATCCAAGTCTTCTTCCTAATAAGGATTTTTTAACCTACTATGTGAAGACCTCGTAAGCGATGAAAGAACATGAAACCATTCTGTTTCAATAGAGGCACGAGAAACAGCTGGGTGTAATGAAGTAGGTAAAGTGGTTGGATTTTGCGAGATGTTCCAATCACTGCTGGATGTGATTCCAAGAGTCGACGAATGAATACCACACATAAGAGTCAAGACCAAGCTCCAATATAAAATGTTTAACCCATCCATTCTGGATCGACCGAATTGGTACGGGACGAGTAGGCAGGGTACGACGAAGCCAGCAGGGTGTGCAGATTTTCTTGCAAATGAAGATCACAAACATGAAGAAGATTTGCTAATATGGGATGATGCAATCAAGGATGTGGAGTTTTTGCTCCTGCCAGATTTAATCAATGTAGCTTATGAATGATTTTAGTATTTCTCTAATATTTTCCAACGTACCACAAAAATGGCATGACCTTGAAAGGAACTTAAGGTGGTCTCTCTAGGTGAGAGAAACCAACCATTATGAAGCTCTAAAGGTGATTGTCTTGGCTAGACGTAGAACTTCTAGTACATATTGATTATTATCATTTGAATTTTAAAAGGCTAACCAGAACTACTTCATTGTACCAAACTGCTGCGTGTTTTTACATAAATAGCCGACCATATTAATTGTTTACTTTTTCTAGCCATGTACATTGATTATATACAATTATACATATTTAATATATAAATTATGCATATAATATACATTCGTCGGCTATTTTTAGTTTAAGTAGTAGGGTGGACGGCTATTTGGGTTTTGTGAGCTTCGTAAAGCATAGTCAGTTTTTGGGTTTCAAATCCGATAATGATGATACTGCTTTCTAACAATACCTTTCTTTTGGTCTCTTAGTAAGAGCTTAGCTCGTAATGTCTGAGTTAAGTGCACGTCAAAAATTCAAACCCTACCACAAACAAAAGCAGTTAATTTAAATAGACAAGAATGTAGGAATAAGCTCACTATCCATCGAGTTTCGACCGCTTCGTATTTATGTAGAGAACGGTATCGCCGTTGGCTCATTATCTTTCAAACACTGCGCCAACTAGCCTCGACCATTTTTCGATCTTCAAGACAATTTATAATAAATTACCTGTTTCCTTCCAAGAAATAGTGTAATACGTTTCATACCCAACAATTTACGAGAGAATTCTCTCAGTTTCATTATATCATAATAATTTCATATCCTTGCATTTAGGGCGGAAAAGCTGAATAAGTAATCATAAGCATTTGTATTTCAGACGCAAGTATAAACACAAAGAGCTCAAGTATAAACACAACTCAACTTTTTGTGAGCTGCAAAATGAATGGTAAAATTCAACCTTATATTATTGAAGACAACAACGTTTACTTAGTTGCCAAGGTTTAATGTCAGTAGAACTGTAACGAATACCATTCCTAATTCAGGATTGCAGTATACCATCAAACTGCAACAGTTTTCTTCAAATTCTGAAGTTGAATGTCATGTTTTTTCAAATATCATATAAGCTTTAAAGTAACTCAAAATCTCTCTGATGTATTCACGACAAATATTCCGCCAAATGCAATACTTAATGCTCAAGCAACAGTGTAGAACCTTCCGCGAGTATTTATGCCTTGACTCGATTGTATTGCTTTATCTCATTAATTATGCCATCAGTAAGCATGTCGACGTCGTTATTCTTTCCGAAAAACTTCACAAATTCCATCTTAGGATCCATAAGATACCTGCACATTGTGTTATCAATCTCATCAAAACTCATGTGTTAAAGTAACATAACCTTTTCAATGGACGAATAAGCCAAAACATTTTAGAGAGATATCATTAAGCATTCAAGATTTAGGAGAGACGGATAATCTTAAAGCATGCTCAATCAGAATGACCTAAATGGATAAGGAGAAAACAATATTTGCCACTAAACAGAAATGCAGATTACCATCGATAGAGCTTAAATTACATCTCTAGTCATCTGGACTACTCGATGCTTGGATGGAATATTTTTGTATTGTTTATTAAACCAATTTCATCATTTATGAACTGGTTTCTGGTTAATATGTAAAATACAGATAGTTTTCATGAATTAATGACCAAAAATGATTCCAACAAACTTATAATTTGTTAGTCGATTAGAACTGCTAATTCATTAGTCAATCATGTTCTAGTCATTTATCCAAATGGCAAGATCAGTTTAGTTAATAAAACACTAAACAGATTATGATAAATGATCAAATTTGGGCATAAATGGTTCTCTAACAAAGGCGATTCCATACCCAAGGCTCGAACCTGAGACCTCTGGTTAAGGAAGAACGAGTACTTATCATTCCACGACAAGGTCTTTCATCAGTAAATATCCAACTCCATAAGACTTTGTTCATGCACAGGTGCACTCTTGATGTGATCAAATGGCAATTAGGTAGCTAAAACCACTATAAGTAATGGTTTTCAGATTGATGATACATGACGGGAAAAAAATCAACGTGTGCTTGTATTGATAAAGGTTGTAGATATTGAAATTGAGAGGCAATTAAAACTGACAGGTAGCAATCACAGCTAGGATCAAGTAACACATACATGACTATTGAGTGATCAACAAGGTAATCTGAGCCTTCTTCTTCTGTCTTCATATAGTAAACCCGATAAGCACGTGCCGTTTTCTTTATCTCTTCTGGGGTACCAGTGAGGCCAATCAAGTTTGGGTGAAACTCTAAACATTGAGTACAAAATAGTCAGTTACAGCGTAACAAGTAACTTACAAGTATATCTAATCAATGCACGAGACATAATCAGTTCAACCTGAAACGCACCTTTAACATATTCATGTACTTGCTCAACCGTATCTCTTTCAGGATCAACTGAGATAAACACAGGTATTACTTGAATTCCTGACTTCTCTTCTGCATATTGAGTATATTTACGAATTAGGAGATTAACATATCTCTATATGCTTAAAATTAAAAGGAAAAAGACATCATGACAGCTAATCACTACTCCGCCTCTGTCCCAATTTATGTGATGCACTTTCTTTTTAAATTTGTGCCTTTCTATATTTAGAAACAATTTAAATTTAAGCTTCCTATTTTACTTTCGGAAAAGGGCCTAAAATCCCCTTTAATATATGAAATAGGACAGGCTAGCCCTCCGTTAAAAGTTGGTCTCTATTCTGCCCTTGTCGTCAACAAATGGGCTCGTATATGCCCTTCATCACTAACGGGAGACTCATAAAGCCACGTGGAATATATGTGAGGGCAAGTTAGACCTAATTCGAATTGTACAGGGGCATATATGAGTCAGTTATAATAGTCATTTCTCAAACACTTCACAACTCCATATCAGTTTACTTAGACACCTATTTGACAACACCAAACTAATTATCACAGCAAATAAACTAAGTTGTAGACACAAACATTCAAATGAACGGTAGTGACTTCATTAAATCCTAGTAGCTCAAAGGGGTCGAATCATAACAAAAGACAATATCGGAATGTTCTAGTAGATCAAAGGGGTCGAATAGGAGGTGTCATTACGGACTTACTGCCAATTATTTCATGGCATGGACACCTTTAAATGCTGGGAGAAGGTTTTTCAAGTGTCCGAAGCATGAGGTAAGCAAATTTTTTGATGGGTTCTTTTAATCATTCCAATTTGCTTGTAAATTTGTGTTATTTATTTTTGGTTTTTAGGATGAAAAATATTCCTATTGGGAATGGCAAGATGAAGAGCTTCCTCCTAGAGTTTTAAATCTCATATGCAGTTTAAAGAAGGAAAAAGAAGCTCTAATCCGTAAAAGAAATGCTCTCTAAAGGAAAATTTGATCTTGAGAATGTTATGATGCTCGTCGATTATGGAGGAATAGAAGTCTTGGAATTGGAAAGAAATGTTCTAATGAAGAAAGTGACCGATTTAGAGTACTCAGTTGTGCTTGATGCTAAATTTCGGAAGAAGATGTGGATTTTAATGTGTGTGATATTGGGATGTCTTGTTATGTTCTTTGGATCAGTAAGAAATGATATGTAATGTTCATGTTATTGTGGCTTAATTGTTGTCTTTTATTATATAATGAAGCTTTATGTTTTTGTACAAGGATTTAATGAAGTCATTGCCGTTCATTTGTTGTGTCTATGACTGAGTTTATTTGCTATGATAATTAGTTTGGTGTTGTCAAATAGGTGTCTAAGTAAACTAATATGGAGTTGTGAAGTGTCTAAGAAATGACTATTATAACTGACTCATATATGCCCCTGTACAATTCGAACTAGGTCTAACTTGCCCTCACATATATTCCACGTGGCTTTATGAGTCTCCCATTAGTGATGGAGGGCATATACGAGCCCATTTGTTGATGACAAGGACAGAATAGAGACCAACTTTTAACGGAGGGCTAGCCTGTCCTATTTCATATAGTAAAAGGGCATTTTAGGCCCTTTTCCGTTTTACTTTTAATGAGATGATTTATAGCCACAAAAATTACTGACTTGTTTTAGACCACAAGCTTCAAAAGTCTTTCTTTACAATCAAAGTTTATCACATAAGAGAGTATAAATTAATGGGCTTTTCTGTCGCAACAAAAAAATTGGAACTATACAGCCACTAGTTGCCTTTTTGATTTGTTAAAATAGTCAGTAGCTGTGGCATTGTAGTCTGCTACGACATTAGCTTACATTTTCTCCCGTAGGTAGC